GAGAGAGAAATTTGTATTTCCGATTGTACATCGAATGCCTTCCACCGTCTCGTCGGCTCTAAACATTTTAGTGATTTAGTTTTCTGGGGACTATGGCAGTGGTATTTTACCGCAATTGTTGAATTGAATGGGGTCCCCCAATATCAAGGAAGAACTGGAGTTTTCACAGGCAACTGTTTGGTACCTATTTGAATGTTAGGACACCTCTGGACCTACGCTGGCTTCGCCAGACTCTGTAAAGTACAAGGGGAGTATGCGTTCAAATACTTATAGAATTATGTTCACCGCGAGGGTAGTAAAAGAAGTGGTCAGCACTAGGGACAACGTCAGGGATCCTTGACGCTAGTGTGGAAGTCGTGTTACTCTGGAAGATGTGTCATATTTGGCGGAAATTGCTGTAAATATTCAGAAGAGTTAGATTCCGGTTGGGAATTCCACGGAGATTTGAGATCTTCCGAAGAATTTTGAAGAGATTTCTATCAACTGCTGCGTACTGCGAGCAGGCAGGTGTATAGAATCGAAAAAAGAGAAGTCTGCCAAGTGATGGGCAACGATGACGTAGTTAGAGGTTCTACTAAGACCGACAACAGCCTTGGAGTCAGTCGAGAAGCCTTCTCACGCGCGAAAAGCGAAGTGTCAAAATAATTATCGATTTTATTACTTCTGAACCTAATCACGTTTCGCAGAAGTCGAAATGTACGGCTTTGCAAGAACCTCGGCATGATATATTGATGGCTGATATCTTCTGTAAGCTCTCCACGAGGTTGTTAAGCAGACTTTATTGGCTTACGTTTAGGGGTTCACACTTTACAGTAATGCGAGCAGGTGTGTAGAATCGAAAAGTGAGAAGACCACCAATGGTGAAAAAAGTTCAGGGAATCAAGTTTAGTCCGGATTGCTGTGTGTCCCACTACTGGTTCCGGGTGGTCTCGAGTACCGGACTAAGTTACGGCTCTGAAGAAGGCGACCCCGCCGAAACGTAAGCCAATAAAGTCTGCTTAACAACCTCGTGGAGAGCTTACAGAAGATATCAGCCATCAACTAATCACGTTTTGCTATTCGCTGGTTCTACAGCTCCCTGCCCTTGTCAGGTTTACTAAATGCATACTGCTTGGTTCGATAACTGAACACTAGTCAAATGTTTACCGCTCCTTCTTAACTCCAAGTGCAACTGATAAGTCATGGTAGCCTTACGCTGTTTTATGCGTACTACGTGGACTGCCCTTCACGAAATTTTCAGAGAAAGTGAAGTGCTTATTTAGGTAGAGCGGGGTAGGGCTCACAAGAAGCCGCGTCATGGGATTCAGCTAGCGATGGTCGTAATTATGCCTTCTCGTCATCTTCGGCCTTTCTCGACGTGAGGGTTTCTTAGATAGAGGGTCGGGAGTCACAGTGCCGTAAGCGCCGCTGGAGAGAAGGGCGCTTTAGGCGGTCAGTTCTGATGCATCGTGATCGGCTGTGGTCGCGCAGGACCCCTTGCTGCTTATGCAGAAGAGAGGGCGGGAAGGGTGATATAAAAGGTACAGCAAAGTCGACTAGTATTCTTTTTCCGTTCCGGATCGTCGCACCTACCAGGAGTCGTCGGACCTGCTCTCTCAGCTCAACCTTCCTCCTCCCCAGGCTCGTACGCCTGAGTGGCATCGAAGCGAGCTTGTGTGGCACCGAACCCGCCATGTGTGGCTGAGACCTAGAATCTGTGTGATCCCGACAACCAGGAACTAGCAGCCCAACTCCTCTCGTCCGCGACATCCCCTACGCCCACTGGAAATCGCTCCGACTTTATATCGCTTCATTTGGAGTATTCTATTCTAATTGGTTGATTTCGCTTATTATAGTTATTTCGTTACGAACTGGTGGATTCCTTTGTTCTCCTTGTGAGCTAACGATACCGCACCGGAATCAGTTATCTAATCACTTTAACTTTACTCTTCAGCTTTACAGGTCAAACGCGTTGCTTCCCCTCCTTCTAGCTTCATCATCTGTGTGTAACGGAGTATCCAAGAAGAGAAATAACAGATTTGAAATGGGATCCACAGGAATGTTGCCCATGCGAGCCGATTTTAAGTAGCCACTATTTCGTGGTTTAGAACCATTTGTTCCCACAGGCACCTTTTGCAAACAGCAGCTCAAGCTGATCGAACGTTGAACATTTCCTCAGTCATTCCCGTTGATCCTAAGAATGTGCAATAGAAGTCTAGAACTGAAGAGTAAATACTCACGAAGCTCGTTTTCCCACTGAGACGGAGATGTCTGTGCATGCGGCGGCTGGTGCTGAATAAAATTCACATTTCTTGAAAGATTCGAAAATTTAAGAGCCTAATAAAAGCAGTCGAATAAACATCTTGTAGAGAAGTTACATGTACATATTTCGATAGTAGACCTTTCCTGGGTCTGTGTAAAAATAACTTGATGGTTACGAGCATTCTTTTTCCAAATTACTTACTAATTGAAAAAGTTCGAAAGGAGCTGAAGGCATGGCGCATTCTATGTTAATGAGTACCTGGTGATAATGGTCAAAAAAACGAAGGTGATATCTGGCTAAACGTTTGAAATTTCAAACTGCATGCAATGGTCACCTTAAGACTGCTGTCTTCGGTATCGTTCTGATAATTCGTCTCATCCTTTCTCTCTCTATCGCTTGAATTTCGGGATCGCCAGTGTTGAATTTGGTGAAATAGTGCACCACAGTGAACTCCACCATACACAGCAGTAATGTCGTATAGCAAATCCATATGTACACGTCCAATGCTGTGGGAAAACTGACCTAAACGCCTCAAATAATAGGTGAGAAATTGCAATATTTGTACTCTAAAAATTTCGTATGACGACAGGAATGACTGCAAATTCATGTGTGCGCTCAGTTGACTGCATCCTCATTCCCAGTGGTCGCCGACTCGGTGAACCTTTACTCCAGCTTTTTTTTCTCTAGAATAAGGTGCACTTCAATAGCTACCTCTTTGAGTGGTGCCAGGAATAATCATAACATATCCGGACCAAGTCTAACGCCCTTCTGTTACAGTTTTCTAACTTAGCGATTCCATTTTAGGCAAAATACTGGGCTTAATTACAAGATACGTTACCACCACCTCTTAACAAGCGTTTTTCTTCCCCCAAGAGATGTGAAGAATGAATGGACAAAAAAGCTTTGTTTCCACGTACACCGACAAGAAATACCGATGGCACGATGCTTATAACGATAATCGGAGGAGAAAACCTACCTTGGGAGCATCCGATTTGCTGTCATTAGCAATCAGCACCATAGTGAGAACAGATGTGATCCCTGAAAATAGTATTATATCCGACCTTTTTCAACGATAAGGTATTTATTTGCTTTAGCACTTACCCATGCCTACTCGATCTCCAGTAGCTTCGCGATTTGTCCAGAATGCTACCCAGCAAAGGAGAACTATTAGCGTACATGGCACATAGAAGTTCATCAGGAAGTAGCCAAAATGTCGTTCAAAGTAGAATCGGACCTCGAGGAGCGGAATAGTTACCTTGAAAGCTTTTCCTTTGTAGGAAACCAATTCCAAATTTCCTTTTTGGTGAAACAGCTCGGATTGCGCGGCATTTGCACGCCAGCTTTTTGGTGCGTTTTCTGTTTAGGCTGTTTGGACGTTTTACACCTGGTACGGGACCACCAAGAAGGGCATACCATCGATTTGTCTGGCCGGCCCGTAAGCTCATGGCGAAACTGGATCACCTGTATCACCTGTCGTCCCGTTGATCATCGAATTGCTCGAGCGGGCGCCAGCAACGTCTCCATTCGTCCCTGTCGCGTGCAAGAGTTGTCCAGTGGACCCTCCTCGCTCGAGGGACACGAGTCCTTCATTCCTTTCGTTCAGAGCTTTCGTGAAGAAGTCTGACCATCGGGCCGGCGGTCGTCCAGGTGTTCGTTTGACGTCCCGAGGGATCCAGTCGGTAACCGCTCTGGTCCAACGGTCATCGCAAAATCGCATGACGTGTCCGGCCCACCTTATCTTCGATTCCTTGGCGAAAACGGCAGCGTCCCTGATCTTCGATCGTTGGCGTAGTTCGGAACTCCGGATTCCCCTCTGCACTTGCGTGTATAGGGTTACTCCTAGCATCGTCCTCTCGACAGCGCGTTGGATAACGCTGACCGCATGCTCGTCCTGCCTGCGCAGAGTCCAAGTCTCTGAGGCGTAGGTTAGGGCAGGAAGGACAGCGGAATCGAAGAGGTGGGCACGGAGCCGGATGTTCTTCGTCTTCTTCACTACTCCCTCGATGTTCTTGTAGCTGGAGCATTCGGTGATGTTCGTTCCGTTGAGCGTTCAGAAGGGAAATAAAATGCACGGCGCATACCAAAGAAGTTTGTGGTTGCCGAATGATTCTGTCGTAATTATAGGTAAGTTTCAACAGCAGTTTTGTACCCGAGATGGAACACGGAATTTTACTTTCGCGAAGGCCTACAAGAAGTGAAGCTGAAAACCACTTCCTTATGTACATCGGTCATGCATGGACCAGCGTCAACCTTTTGTTGGTCAAGTCCAACGAGAGGAGTCGTTTTGCGTTTTCAAAAGGGGAATGGGTTGTATTTAGGATTGGCAAATGTCAGAAGGCCGAAAAGGGGGATCGCGAATGGGGGCTGTAAAATACGAAGGGATCACGATCGCGGAAAACGTGGTCGTTCTTGACGTTTTTTTTTGAGGTTCCGGGAAAAGTCTAACCATAAGAGGCGGCTTCATTGGGCAAATAAGCCATGAAGTTGGGGAAGCAAGGGATGGGGTTAAAGGGGGTGTGGGGCAGTCGTATGGGGGACCACCCCAGGACTGACGAGTACCCCCTGTGTATGGGGGTCGTGGAATTTACCGGACCAACGTGGCGGCGGCGTGTGACTGCCAAGCAAGGGTAATGGAACGGATGGTTGACCAACACAACTGAATGCAAAGCTACATACATTCTAGTCAATGCTCCCAGCCCCGTTTGTCCAATTATTTAACACGGAAGTGGAAGCACAGGAAAACTCTCGTCGGGGCAACATTTGAGATTGTCGGACCCTTTCGCTAGGGAGCACATAGAGGGACTTCCCCATTACCACCTCCTCGAGTAGAGGATGGTGAACCGGCTAACATTTGCACACCAATTCCGCACAAAAATCTGAAAGATTGTCCAAGGGGAGAAGCAGTACAGGTTTTGAGCAGAAACACCAACTTCTCAATCCATCACGTATTTCTTCACCTTTTCGTGAGAATCCCGTTCGCCGCTCTTCTATTCCGACCCCCTCCCCTTTCAAAATTTACAAATACTTCAAAAACTTGACACACGGGACATTTGGCTCGGCTGGAAGCTCTGCTTGGTCTGTGAGGCATGTCTTATTAAAAGCATCTGGCGGGCGGTGCTTTCGATCACTACTCCAACTTTATCTGATGGTGAGGCAAATCGACTTATAGAGGATTTCACGAAGGTCGCTAATTTAAGAAAGGGAAATTTACTCAGTGAAAAGGCGGACCCGCTAACGGTGCTGACGGCACGCAAGATGCGCTGCGCCCAAGCGAGGGCCATATGGACGTCTCGCGCCACTAGCGCGCGTACCCCCCCCCCCCACACCCTTGCCGGCTGCGCGCTAGCCGAATAGCAATTGGGCGACAAATCTTGCTTAATTTTAGTTTTTCGAAGCGATGTTTCCGATTTATAACTAATTTGGTTTCTGACTAATTTACTGTAGCGCACCTACGAGTGCATAGTAATAAACAAATAAATAAATAAATAGAAACAGATCAACGCCGATGATACACTCGACGCGCAAATCAATACGAAAAAGGGTGCCATTTCTCGGGTTCTAAGTTGCTCTGCGCTTCTTCATCCCTGTCTCACTAAACACCCCTATCTTGATTACTAGTAGGGCTCTCTATTCATCACAAATTCGGAATTCAAACTAGGAATCCGTAGGGAATCAGGTTACGCCGATGGCAAAGAGTAGGAAGCTTTCCGTGGCGGCCAAGTACTTAAAGTCCAGGCTGCCGTTAAATATATTGCGGGGAGCAAATTATCCGGCGTCGATATGACCATTTGTAAGCTCTCTCCAAATTTAAAACGATTGAAAGAGCTAGTACTTACGATCTCTGTGTCATATTGCGTGAATTGTAGCACCTTGAATTGCGCCAAGTCGGAAATTCCTTCGAAGTCCATCTGAAATGTGGATAGTGGAGTGCAGGGTTTTGATAATCACAACTGAGGAAATGCCATGCCTGAACGCCTCTATCCGTGCCCATAAGTCTCCAGTCATACATTAACTCGTCAGAGCCGAACGCATAAGAACCAATTATCAATCGACATACCTGAATAATTCGAAGAAATCTTTGATGAAATATCTGTAGAGGGGAGTAAGAGCTTTCAGACGTCGACGACATAGTTCACGGCGTTTAGAATTCTGCTACGAGATTACCAGGAGAAGGCATTCAACTTCCCATGGAACTTTGAATTGAGACCCAGATATATCGATAGAGCTTCAAACGCTGATTACAAATATGGAAACTAAAACTGCAAAATGAACCTGCCAAGGAAGTTGTGAGCAGTCAAAGTTGGCTGGAAGTAAAGCGTTACATATGAACCGTGCTACCGTTTGGCTTTCAAGAGTCGCCGTGGAGTAGTGGATAGTGCTCTCGAAATTGCGCTACCACCGGAAGAGAACTCATGAACCGACTGGAGAGCCTGAGAATTACCACTACGACTCTGAAAGCTCGGAGGCTAGCCGACTCATATGTAATGCTTTACTTTCAGCCAACTTTGACTGCTCACAACTTCCTTGGCAGGTTCATTTTGCAGTTTTAGTTTCCATATTTGTAATCAGCGTTTGAAGCTCTATCGATATATCTGGGTCCTAAGTTCCATGGGAAGTTGAATGCCTTCCCTGGTTTTATTGCAACGCAGCGTTCCTGGCACATTTTGTGATCGAGCTATGTGAACCAATGATGTTTCCTTTCAGTAAAATAGCCTTTCAAAAGGTGGATATGTGTCCTTCTTGCAACCCGAGAGTGCTCGACGAGAGCGTTAGGACTTCTACTTGTGCTGCGGGATGGTTTCGACAGCGCAAGCGGTAAGTTAGCATTACTAATAGCCGACAGCAAGTTGTAGGTTACTTTCTTTTTGAGAGCAACATTTCCATTTTTGAATTCAGTGGAAAACTTTTGTTGAAGGATCGTCCCGGGAAATTTTTGGGAAATTTTTGCATCCTTTCCCAACATGAATATGTCTGTTGTGAATACAACTTATAAAGTTTTATGCGAAGAGATTCAATTTTCAAAAGAGTAACAAACACATGAAAACTATACTCTTTGGACGGTCGCGGGTAGGTCGGGCGGGGATAGAAAACGCATGGAAAAAAATCGCGCCTTGCGGCAGCCATGTACCAGGCGATGCATTGAAGAAGCGGGTGAAGCGTTTGAATGAGGAGGATAGAGGCAAAAGTATAGACGGAACAGAGCTTAGAAAATAAAAATGGTATTGCCATAGTGGGAAGGGCCAAAAAGTGTTCCTAGTGGAGGCTCTGCGAGAAAGAAGTGGATTTGTCCCCTCGTCAACATTTGTGACAGATGTACAGCGGGAATTTGAACGTTTAATAATAATCACTGATAATTTTCCGAGAACGATCTTTCTGAAAAATGATCAGACAGTTTAATTTAGCTCGAAGGAATGGTATGTTGTTCTTATAGGATCGAAGGAAGAGTATGTTGTTCTTATAGGAAAAGGGCTGACAAAGAGTTCAGGATAGCGATACCTGTTTATCCAATGGATAACGATTCATCGACATGGCACATTTTCCTGAAAACGCACTCCATTTTTTGTTGTACTCACTAAAGAACTTCAAAATATTTTCTTATGGTTAACTACAATAAATTCGCTTTTCTAGACTTTTCTGGCTTTTCTCGCCGGTTGCCCTCTTGTCCCGAAACATCAGTTCTATGTAGTATACGATAAACACACTCAACCAGGGTCAACCGTTACGTTGGACCGATATTGGAGCGACGTTGGACCGATGTTGACCGCTCTCCGCGCCGGCATTCACTCTCGCCACCCGCGAGCCGTCTGTGTCTCCGTGCGTACGTTCACTCTCGGCATTACTCTCGTCGTCGCGTTGGACTTTGTCCAACGGACGGTTGACCCTGCAACCGAGTCTGAGCGAGCGTACCACGATAGGGACGCATGGTGAGAACTTACCGACACTCCACCAAGGGAGACTACCGCGCGCCCCCGACCTCATGGCAGCATGCACCCATGAAGTGCTCTGCACACTTCATGTGTCGCCCTTGGCCTCCTGGCGGCCGTAGCTTGAGCTCTTCCCTCACGGAGAGAAAGTACCCCTCAATAGGTAGAGGCGACCGCAAGACGACGAGGAGCGGTCAACTGAATCGTGGAAAGTGGCGTCACCGCGCGCGGCCACTGACGCGGCGTCGCCACACTCACACTCCCTTCTGCAAGCAGTGAGTCGTATTATCGTAACATTGAAAAAAAGGAAAGAAGGATTAGCGAGACCTAAAACTGTCCGTGCATTGATTGAAACTGAGTGTCAAAGTGACTGGTCGACTTGGTCCCTGTAACATCGAAATCAAATGACGCTCACAGAAACTCGTCCACTGCAGTCGCGACGTCGCGACCACGACCAGTAGCGAGGGGCTCCGAACGACTGTTGACATACACCCCAAGGCGACTGGCCAGGCTGTAGGCGGGGCCACCATCTAGGGCCGCGCGCTCTGAAGCGTAACTGGCTATTCAGCGAGACAGAGCCCAGGCCGTGCCGCGCGGGCCAGACAACCGTCGCGAACCACGACAGGGACGGGTATATCAGACAAACTGTGAGTACACCAATGTTGCGTATTTCATGTTCGCGATGTAACTTGCGTCAAAAATGTGGAAATGATGTCAGCAGATTCTCTTGCTTGTCCTACAAGCAGAACTCTTCAACTCTCACAATTATGGCATCTCGTTCGCACTCTCTTGCTCAAAATGAGGTGAACCTTCACTGGCAAAATGTGGTGAACCTTATACCTTTGGGACACACTGTAGACTGAAAGCGTCAACCAATTTTATTATAATATGGCTTTTTCAAGAAACTGCTGCTAACATAAACGTGTAAACGCAGTGAACTGTAGGAACTTTAATCTCACCTTTGATAGTGAGCCTGCTGCTGTACAGAACTGTACCATCCGGATGCAATCTAACAAGGCAGTTGCTGGTCGTTATACTGTGTGTGTAGGAGCGTGCGCCATTCC